AAAAAAAAAAAAAAAAGAAAAACTCGAAATTCCGCCATGACAGATCGCAACATCCAGCAATTGGGAAAAATCAAAGATCAAGAGATTCGCTGCGACGTATAAAAGGGGAGGGGAGAGAAAGAGAAAGAGAAAGAGAAAAAAGAAAAATATCAAGAGAAATTTCCATCGAGCACGGTGCGTAGCAAGCATACCAGGCACCAGATCGAGGTCTACTTACGCAGGTGCGAAGGGATGCAGGGCCGTAGCCGCAGCCGCAGCTGCGAGTGGCCCCGGGTTCCTCGCGAGGGCCAATGCCGCTGCACTAGTCGGGAAAGCCGCCCTCGCAGCGCCCACTCGTCCCCTTTGGATGGCGACTCCTCTCAACGCCGCGGCTGCAACAACACGCACAAAGACACATGCTAATGCTCGCCTACCTTTTCGCACCGTGTTCTCACGCCGCTGGTGAGTTCTCCTTGCCGGCCATCGCCGCTTCGCTGCTCTCCTTCCTCGCCTTCCTTTCCTTTTTAAATTTCGCGAAATTTCGTGGGGAAGGGTTCAGAAGAGTTTTTCAGAAAGGAAATGAGGGCGACGACGACGACGACGACGAGACGAAATATTCTCCTTCCATCCAAATTATTCTTTTCGGCCGCGAAATTTCGTGGGGAGGAATTTTTGAATTTTTGAAGGGAAGAGAGGACGAGACGAAATTCGACGAATTTTTTTCTCGTATTTATTCGTGTTCTTTTTTTTCTTTCTTCTTTTATTTTCTTTTTCTTATCGCGGAAGGGGTGAGTCTCGAATGGAAGAGACGAGTTTTTCCCCTTTCGTAATTTCTTTTCGAAGGAGGATGAATTTTTCGAAATAGGGAAGGCGATATATTCTCCTATTCTTTTCTCTTTTGCCGAGGATTACATTTTGAGACAATGTTTCACGTTGAGAAACGAATTTCAGGATGTTGAACGGGCACGAAAAGAAGGATCTTTCAACGATTTGGACTTGGAAAGAGGGTTGGAAAGTTGTAAAACACAGTTGGAGAAGACTTTTGCATCTTTTGCACCCTCAACGATAATTATCGCACTGATTTTAATCTCTTATCCGCGTTTTGAAAAGATTTGAAAAGAAGATTGCGAGTGGATAAATAATGGAACAAGAATGAAAGCATAGAATCCTCGTGTTTTCTGCGATAAACAACGAGAAGTTTGTATTACTATTGATTTGGCCATCGATCCAGTCGAGAAAAAGAAGAGAGATTAGAAGATTCGTGAGAAACCAACAACAACGTTCACTTAGAATCGATCAAACTCATCTGATGAAATTGGAATGATAATTTGACCACGATTATCAGAAGCTACGAGTAACTGTACTTGAAATCGATCTTGAAAAATGAAATTGGAAAGCAATTGAGTCGAGATGAGTTAAATTTGAATTGTCTCAATTAACGAAATCGAAAAAAAAAAATGGAAGAAAGAATGGAAAATTGGTGGAACAAGATGAAACAACTTTACCAATCACCTACGTGCATGCTAATCACAAATATTATAATCTGCAGCTTGTTACCTTGTGCCGTGATAATTTTGTTCGCATATCTGAGCTTAACTTATTCGTCAAGAAAACTTATAGAGAGATATTTCATAATACGCACGCGAAACAAAACAAATCAATAATCAATAATAAACGAAGTATATTTTGAACGAAATGGAATTGAAAAAATGTAAATAAGAATAATGGGATTGAAGAATACGAAGAAATGGATTAACAGATAAGAATCTGTTTTCTAGATAAATAATATCCTCGAACGAGATGCTTGGACGGATATTTTCGCAAAATTGTATTTGACCATCGTTGAGACGGATAGTTACCATATTTCTTCTACCATTAAAGCTATTTATAGCATCTGACGATATCTGCAAACACACGGAGCAGCAATTTGTATCCAAATATCATTATCGAGAAAATATCTTCTTACATCGTTTCACGATTTTTAAAAAGATCATACGAGCCTTGAAGTCTCTCTCAACAATTTTTAACGATACCAAGATTTACACAAAGAAAGATCTCGGAAAAAAGAGACAAAAAATCGAAGATTTCACGATTTCTTGCGAGATAGTAAATAAAATTTCCAAAAAAGATTCTAATCCCCAAACAAGGTAAAAGAATATACGTTGAAAGAAAGAATCGAATTCGAATCTTTGACAGAACAATTGAAAGAAACTCGTCGAATCTCGTCGAGAAATAGGATCCTCGAGAATGAGAAGAAATAAAATCCGGCCGATCACTCGGATATCATGGAACAAAGTCCCTTGAATCGACGATCCTCTGGTTAAAAGATATAGAGCATAGGTAGCTTTTAATGTTTAACGAGCACGGACGAGAAATTTGGTCGATTGTTCGAGCGACAATTAGGAAGAAATCGGTGAGCTCGTTCCGCTGATGGAACTCCCACTTCGAAGACGACGCCTCTTTCGGCGCCCGGAAATGGCTGCATCGTCCGCGTATCCGGCCCTCGATTGATCGCCAGACAAACTCTCTCTCTCTGTCTCGTCTCTTTGATCCAAACAGTGGAGCAATAAAAACTGATGTTTCTGCCTACCTTTTGTCCGCGCCGTCACCGTGTGTGCGCATCCCTCAACTCTAACTCCGTGCCTTTACGCTTCCGCGTGGTCCACGTTCAACTTCCGCCTCGAAGAGATCAAGGAGCGCTCGCGTGAATCGCGTCTATTGTTCCTTTTATGCGACGACCCTTTCTTTATCGTGTCGTTTACGGGAGAACTAGAGAAAGAGAGAGAGAGAGAGAGAGAGAGAGAGAAAGAGAGAGAGTAGAAGCGAGTTGCAAAGCGAAATGCTTTTCGGTTAGCGCTTTTTAAGTTAATGTAATCTAAGTTCGTTGTCACTGGTGTGACGCCTTTTTTTCATTTTGCCCTCGAGAAAGCTTTTTTCCCCCCTCTTCTCTCTTTTCGATTTTAATATTTGATTGAGACCGGTGTTTATGCAAAAATGTTCTTCGTGGATTATTTATAATATTTTATACATTTTCTTTTTTGCGATACAATTTGATACACGATTATGATATCGTGTGTATCGGGGAGAGAGCGCGTGTAATTACGTTACTGTTTTAAAAGAGATCGATATTTTGTTAAAAGCATTTATATTTATTTCTATTAAAATTGGAAAAATTAACGAATCAATTGGAACATCCCATATGCATAAACATCTGCAGTCTAATAAAAAAAAATATATATATATATAATAATAGTGGAATTTTTAATATAATTTTTCCGTAAAATTTATTATTATTTCACCCGATGCGATTTCGAACGCTCCAAATCTCTTCAAGAGACAGAGTCCCCCGTGGCGATTAGTTACAAAAATGAGAGAAAAACTTGCGCAGCTGGTTACAGGCTAATATAAACTTGATATAAACGAGCAACAAGTAAACAACAATAACAATCAACAACAACAACGGAATAATTATTTAAACAATCAACTACCGTGCAAGTGTCGCACGTGTGGTTAGCGCGATTTAACAAACGGAAGTTATAAAAAAAACGAGACCGATTTCGACTGGATGGTTACAATTATACAGCCGGATCCGGCTCTATTTTATAGTTACAAAGTTGGGTGCGTCAAGAAAAAACAAGACTAGAGCGTGATGCATTTACAGCAGGCACATTCCAAAAACACATTGGTTTGGGATCGTGGGGAGTTAAACAAGAAAATCGAACAGCGTGACACGACACGATCTGCGGTCGAAAAAGTTATGTTCTTGAATTTGATATTTCTCGATTACTTGTTTTTTGGAATTTTTCGAATTTATTTAACTTAAGCGATTAAAGAAATTAGATCTTAGCGTTCAATTGGTAGTCAGAGCGTCGATGTCACGTTCACGTTATCGAGCTGTTTTTTTTCGATAATCCGTATATTCTCTGAAAAGGTTGGAAAACGAAGAAAATATACAGAAAAAAAAAAAAAAGAATTATTGAAAAATAAACGTTTCAACATCGTGATCAACGGGGATTCAGGTTTCCAATCGAAAATTAGCCTGGAAAACTCTATCTACCAGTTGATATCGATTAAGATTCTATTTGGTTAATAAGCAATTCGTGTGCACAATGATACTTTTTACCTTAAACAATTACATCTTCGTCTTTAGGATGCGCTTCGTATCCGGAACTCGTTCTCGATTCTTAAATCTCTTCGTTCTCTTTAATTTCGTCGAAATCATAGCCCAAGATTATTACTCGATAGAATTTCGGGGGAAGGAGTTTCGGGCGAAAATTCAAAATTCGCCGGCCCATCTTCATCGGATTTCACCGTGACGTGCACGTTTCCAATTAACGATAATTAATTAATCGGCTAACGACCGGATGTTGGCCGAGGTTCGTGCTGATGAACACGGGCCGTGACAAGTTTGATATCCAATAAAAATTTCAAGGAAGAATTCAATTTTCGCGAAAATTATATTCCCTTCCCCCCCTCCTCCCACGTTTTGCGCGCAAATATAAAAATCTATAAATAAAAATAAAAGAAGACCAAAAAAAAAAAAAAAAGATTCATTGTGCACGTTTATCCAATATCTTATTAAGATTTGCCTTATTAAAATTCCAAACGGGTTTTGACATGTTGCGAAACGTGAAATAAAGAGGGGATGAAAAAAAAAATAAAAAGGAGAATAAAAAGGGAAGAAAAAAATCCACGCTCGACCGCAGATCGATAATCGTCGCGCTTGTAAAGTCGCCCTAAATGGCGAGAGTTGGGATTCGCTAATTACGTGAAAGGAACATCGATAATGCGTGCCCCAAAGAGAGCGAGGGTGTTGAGGAGACAAAAAAAAAAAGAAAAGGGAAGAGAGGAAGAGAAAGGAAAAGAGAAAGAAAGAAAGAAAAAAAAAGAAACGGTGGTGCTCGACGAGCAGTCGTGACGAGGATGGAACAGCACCGCCGCTTCCGGTATATTCGACGTGTCTCGTTGTTTCGAACTCGAAGATCCCCTCGACGGCTGTGTATCTCGCGTTTTCTTTTTTTTTATCCCTTCCGTATAAAACGCATCTTCGTTATTGTCTGTCCGCGTTGAGCAATGGGGGAGAGGGCGACACGTCGAAGGAAGAGAAAGATTGGGACGGGAAATATGAAGGGGGATATGAATCACGATGAATTTTCTCGAGAGAGATTGCCTCTTAATTCGATAACTTCTGTCAAATATTCTTTCGAATAATCATGAGTGAATGGTCAAATCGTTTAACCATACGGAATGAACGGCGAGAAACGGGTGAGATATATGAGATAAGAGTGGAAATTTTGTGGAAATGAGAGATCAATTATTCAAAGTGTAATTAAAAAGATAATCTTTTTTAATTAATTCGTTTCAACCGTCTGATCGTCTCTTGTCGATAATA